GAGAAATCCCTTTATCCTAAATGGCCTGACGAAAAACAATTAAATAACCCTTCTACATGCTCTACTTCCATTATAAGTCTGGTCAAGAAATTACTACCGCAGAAAAAGAATATAAGAAAACTATGTAATTTTACATATTTTTGCAATATATTTCTATTATGACTGACCAGCCAAGCGAAAATGTACAAATAATATTTGTGCTCAACTTACGAGTGTAAATAGTTTTTTATGTTCAACATGTAAGAGAAAAAATGCATGAAAATAGCTAACTGTCTTGAAAATGGCAAAAATGTCAAGCATGTCTGTGACAAAGACCAAAAACCTAGCGTTGAGTTCTAATGCACATTTTCAGAATTTATTTATTGCATTTGATAAATTGAAATTAACCAATCAGAATAAAAACCGTCAGTCATCGGAGTTATAACTTAAAAGTTCGCATTATACATTCATCTTAATTTTTTGTTCATTACAATATGTATATTTTCACCGATTTAAACAGTTTTAGGCATTTTATTTAAAACACTACTTAGTTACATGTATGAGGACGACAAAAATGGCTTAAAGGTGCCAAGTTTGTATAACCCTAAATGGAAGAGTTTCTATAGTGTAGTAGAGGTAAGCGTGGTTGTCCTCCAGTACGGAGGATGGATAAGAGTATGGTTCGTGTCAATCTAAAAATAAAACTGAATATCTTTTGTAACTCTATTATAGATACAATCAAATGTGAACTATTTCTATCTATTTTCTACAGATTAAAAAAAAACTGTTAAAAAATCGCCGTTTCTGTGGTTGCAAAATATGTCTAAATAGGAATTGGATTAAAATAAAGTTATCATTAAACAAACATGTAGGTCTTTAATTCTTGTAACTTTTAAATCTTAAAATACAAAGCCCGTTGCGAGTTTAACTACTAAGTGTTAAACCAACTACTAATACCGCATAAACTACCTTAATTGCTTCTTGAGGTGCGAAAATTAAAGGATTAAAATGTTTCCAAAATCGTTCAAATTAAACCATGATTACTAATAAACATACCAGCTTTACAAAATACATGAGAAACACTTCATCTTTATCAACTTATATATAACAAGAATGATTGTAACAGGATGCTGTTACGAAGACTCCCAAACGAAGCTCCCATAATTCGTAATTCCGAGGGTCGCCTGACATTGGGCAAAGTCCAGTGAAAATTGGTTTGGTCCAGTAAAGTTATATGCATTAGTGATGCCTGGGGACTAACCCTGTATATCATTCAAATCATCTTGGCATGACAAACCAGAATATATATGGTTTAGGGGTGGGTATCTCGTCCATATAGAAGATATTAGAACATTGGGGTGGGGGACCCCTGGGGACTGACCCTATACATCATTCAAATGTTCGAGACATGACGAACAGGAATATATATGGTTTAGGGGTGGGGATCTCGACCATTTACAAGATATTAGAACATTGGGGGTGGGAGAACCCCTGGGGACTGACCCTATACGTCATTAAAATGTTCGAGACATGACGAACAGGAATATATATGGTTTAGGGGTGGGGATCTCAACCATTTACAAGATATCAGAACATTAGGGGTGGGGGAACCCCTGGGGACTGACCCTATACGTCATTCAAATGTTCGAGACAGGACGAACAGGAATATATATGGTTAAGGGGTGGGATCTCGACCATTTACAAGATATTAGAACATTAGGGGTAGGGGAACCCCTGGGGACGGACCCTATCCGTCATTCAAATGTTCGAGACATGACGAACAGGAATATATATGGTTTATGGGGTGGGGATCTCAACCATTTACAAGATATTAGAACTTTCTCAAATGACAGGGGGCCGGGATGACCCCTGGGGACTAACCCTGATATCATTCAAACCATCTTCGCATGACAAACCAGAACATATATGGTTAAGGGGTGGGGATCTTGACCACTTACAAGATATTTGAACATATTCAAATGACAGGGGCTGGGGATGACCCCTTGGGTCTTACCATGTATATCATTTAAATCATCTTGGCATGACAAACCAGCATGTATATGGTTTAGGGGCGGGGATCTTGACCACTTACAAGATATTAAAACTTTATCAAATGGCAGGGCGTTGGGATGACCCCTGGGGACTAACCCTGTAAATCATTCAAATCACCTTGGCATGACAAACCAGAATATATATGGTTTAGGGGTGGGGATCTTGACCACTTTTAAGATATTAGAAATTTCTCAAATGGCAGGTGAGGCGACCCCTGGGGACTAACCCTGTATTTCATTTGATGTGCTTTATCATGACAATCCAGACTATATATGGTTTAGGGGTGGGGATCTTGACCACTTACAAGATATTAAAACTTTTTCAAATGGCAGGGGGTGGGGGTTACCCCTGGGGACTAACCTTTTATTTCATTTAATGTGCTTTATCATTTAGAACATTTTTAATTATAAAGATTGTGTCTAATACTAACTGTTTTAAAGTTATAATCATTTGAAAATTTTAAAAATAAAATCCCATAGAGTTCTACAGTAAACCCCTCCTTCCGTTTTGCCCCTCAAAGTACCCCTTTATAAACCCCATTGCACAAACAAAACCCTGATTGCACCACTAGACATGTTAGTCGTACATATTCAGTGAAACCCTAATTTAATCTGACTAGCGGTTTTGGAGAACGGTTGCGGGCAAGTTCAAATTTAAAAGCGGCGGAACAAATAGAGGAAGAGGAAGAGGAAGAAGAAGAATAATAATAATAAGAAGAAGAAGAACTGAGCAAAACCAATAAGACTTAATAAGCTACCACTTCATGTAACAAAAGTATTAAAATAAGATTTAAATTAGAATTGTTACCTGTATTTTGGTTACCCCTTTAACATAATTGGATAAAACAAGCGTATTGTCTTTGATTTAGCTTATCCCTGTCGTATTTACAGGACAACATGCTACATCCTTATACTAAACACCAGTGGCGTATTCAGGGGCGTAGAGTGCGATTGGAAAATATATAGTTTTTTAGCATAAAATCGTCCAAAAATTGTTTTGCCTCCGCTCGGCTGAATATTTATGGTTTTTAGGAATTATACCCCGCACCCCTATTTAAAATATCCTGGACCATGAACACTGATACAAATTTTATAAATATGTTAGATATGACATAAGATATTTTGAGGACCAAGAACCTAGCATAAGCAAACATATATAATTAGAATCTTAACCTATATTGTGTCCTAATTTACAGTTTTGTGCCGGAGAGCTCATTGTATAATGATAGGCTGGCGCATATTAAGTTTGTGTGTAAAATATCAATCTGGTTAATTATTGAAGATGTGAAATTGTATCACCTGGTGAATTCAGGGATCCAGGGCGGATCCATTGTCCGAAGAAAGGGGGCGCAATTCTCCAAAATGGTACGAATTATTTATTTTTTATGATTCAACATGTTCAAAGCATTTAACCACCACTATGTGATGTCAATTTATGTATAACTTGTACGAAAGTCTGTACAAATTTTAATCACAAAATTATAATTTATTGTTTTGGTTACTTTTTATCCAGCTACTTTTTATCAATGATATTCAGTAATAAACCAAGACTATTTTTTCACAGCTTAAAGATTCTAAATCTCCTTGAAGGTCAAGTTAACACAAGATTATTAACACATTGTGTTCTAAAGCTAACACTTAAGCCCTATACAAACTCTAGATTTCACTAAACAGTCGTATAATACTACTCCACAAAAATTCTTTCAGTGTCCTGATTTAAATTTTAGACCATGACTTGACCTTAAATGTGTGTCAACTATATATTTCAAATTCAAGTTCGCCTTTTCAAATTACATAATGTTTTTTACTTTTTATGTGAAAAATAATAACATAACCTTTCTCTTTGACTGCAATTCCGTAATTTTTACAGATTTCAAGTGGTCATAACATAACAATTCTTAACACATTAATTACTATTAAAAATTATGCATTGATCAATTATAATTTCCTCTCATATGCAACTTATCTTTGCTTCATGTTTTACGTGTACAAAATATTTTAACCACATATTTTATATTCACAACTGATAACTCTATTTGGTAACAAAATCAATCTTATTTTTAAAAAAAAGTCATAATATCAGGATGCGTCATGATGAGACGAATATGAATTTTAGAATAACAGATTTCTTTCAAATAAAACAGAGTTTTAATAATAAGAACAAATTAATTTGCGGTACGTGTACAGTATAAGTAACAAGATGGATATTCCTTGAAATACTGTTTTACTAATACCTAAAAATAAATGTTTATGAAACAAAAGGAGGTGGAAAGATAAGGGCCATTGTCTGGCCCCTTAAATCGGAAATGAATCCTTGTAAAATAATTTTATTCTTATTGAAAAATGCATATATAAAGCATGATATGCATGTAATATGGTCGCTTGAGTATAGTAAGTCACTGTTTGTGTAACTAGAAGCTACTACCATCATCATCTATTTATAAAACATGATAAAGCAAGTTTGCTGACCGAAACCACGTGCTCATATCTAAATATGTAATGGCAAAACCTCAAACATGGGCAATTTTGACATTTTTTTTTTATACTTTCCTTTAAATTAAGACTTTCAAGGTCTACAGCAAACATGTTACACAAAATACAAAATCGTAGCTGTCAAGCTGATGTCTTTGAACATTTCTTTAATATTTCGAGCTTGAAGATAATTCAAAATATATTCATTTCAATTATAATTTTTTTATTAGCATTTCTTTTAATAATGAATGTATTTTGGTATACAGATTTATTTTCTTATTTACACTTTATAACATTCATTTAGATGCCAGCAGATGATTCATTGAATGAAACATAATGATATGATGCATTGCTTTTATATTGTATTTGCAATTTATTATATATATTGTTGTCAAAAGATGAATATATACCATCAAACAATAAAAATTCGGTAACCACAAAATTCCACTACAACTGAATCAATAGTACAAAATAGTAGAAAATAAAACAATGACTTACCAATCGGGACAATGAGAAGAAAAATACACACTCTCTTAATCATTGGTTCTGGAAATGCTATCGATCAGTAATTCTAGACTGCCGGTTGCTATTTTTAGCAAATCGCTACACATAAATACATCAAGGTAGACATTGTAACACCAGATTTAGCCTTGTTGTTGCTATTTTTAGTACATTTTCTTGGCCTTTGTTAACCGTTATTGTTATTTTAATGATTTTGCACTGATCTCAACCGGATGATGTTTAAAGTGAATCGGTACCCCCTACAGGCAATGACAAAGTCTGCATTGTTGTAAATAATTATGTGAATAAAATGAGATTTTAAAAGGTGATAGCAGAATTTTAAATGTTAAATTGTGTAAATGTCCCAATTATCTATGTATAATAGCATATTTATTTTAATGTTTGAATTCACGAACATTCCATATAACACGTTTAAACGATAAAAAATGTCGCAATGAACTTAAATTTTCGTTCCTAATCCTATTAAAGTAATTGCAATTAATCAATTTCTGATCGGCCAAGGTTAAAATTTGGCGTCAGGAAATCGGAGCTAATTATTAACATCTTGCCGGAGGGTCTGGATAGGGGGAGGGGGCCTTAATTATTTCTGTGTTCTTAATTTTTTTTTTCTATTTCCTGATCGACATATTATTGAAATAGACAGCAATTCCAATTTATCAATTTATGATTGGCCAAGGATAAAATTTGTCTACTAATTTTGTCGTCACGAAATCTTTAAACTTCATGCAATCGGATTTATTTAACATCTTGTCGGAGGGTCTGGATGAGGGTCTTTCGTTTCCGTAATTTTTATTTTTTTAGGTCAATTTTCTCTATTTCATGACCTATTATTTAAAAAGACTAACTAATTGCACTTTATCAATTTCTGATTTGCTAAGGCTAAATTTTGTCATCAAGAAATCAATTAACTTCATGCTATCGAATTATTTAACATCCTGGTGTAGGGTCTGGAGGGGGGTCCTTAATTTCTAATTTTTAAATTTTTTCAGTCATTTTTCTCTATCCTATATATTTTTACCCATTGCCCATTATTCTCTATTCTTATTTTTTTTTTTTTTGGCCTATTTTTCTGTAAACCCATCCATATCCTCTTGCCGGGATGATACAAAGTCTTTTATTATCACAACCATTGTAGATGCATAGGTACAGAGAAGGTGCAAAATATGTACAGAAATTTGCATATATTTACAAACATTTATACATACATTACTGTTTAGTGGTTTCAAAACAATATACATTTTAGCCAGGAGGACCCACGTGTTTGTCTACAAACTTTATGAACTTACCCAAACTTTTTAGCTCTGACTTTTTACTATAGTATCCAAGTATAAATTCCTACTGTCGAAAAAAACGGACATTTTAGCAGATAATAGAATTCGTCTCCAATGTTACAAAAATTGCAAAGATGTCATTTTCGATCATTTGTATCAACGTTATTCCACCTTCCTAGTTGTATTGGGAGTCTTGGTTCGTTTAAACGCGTTAAATTGAATGTTCGTGAATTCAAACATTAAAATAAAAATGTTCTTATCCATAGATAATTGGGACATTTACACAGTTTAACATTTAAAACTCTGCCATAGCTAGCAATAAGACCAGGTTTAATCCACCATTTTCTACATAAGGAAATACTGTACCAAGTCAGGAATATGACAGTTGTTTTCCATTCGTTTGATGTGTTTGAGTTTTTGATTTTGCAAGTTTATAAAGAACTTTCCATTTTGAATTTCCCTAGGAGTACGGTATTTTTGTTATTTCATTTTTTATGCAGATCCAACATCTCTAAATATTTTTCAAAATTTAATTATAATTAATTATGTAATAATTGCTTTTGGAAACTTTTGTAATTGTGTATTCCATGAATTTATCTGGTAATCGCAGACGAAAGGCATTTTTTAACAATATATCGTTAACAAAAATTTTCAAACTTTGAGTATTCCAAATATTTGAAAAACCGCGTTCATCCAATATATTTTTAACCTTACTTAACAAAAAATGTACGTACATTATTAGCAGTAAATAAAGTTGTTAATAGTGTATATGTGATAGAAGATAACTTAGTCTCTTTAGAAGATACTATTTTACACCAATAATATACTGTCTTTAATCTAATCCTAATATTCAAAGGATATTTACTAACGCAAGTTCCCCATACACCATATAGCTAGGTGTGGAGTTTTTCAGTTTCAAAAGAAGTTTACAGAATTTCAGATGGATTCCCTATACAATAAAAACATTACCATACCACCAAATTTCACATCCATACAGTAGTATAGGTTTAACAACGAATGAAAAGATTAAGAATGCGGCCCGATTTCAGCACATTAAACATACTAGCATTGGTGGCCTTTTCTACTAGGTGCTTCTGTGCTATTTTAGAAATACCAGTTCTACAGATAATATGTCCAAATTCCGTTACAATTTCAATATCAGTGCCATCTTCATCAATATGTAAATTTGACGGCATTCTTCCTCTAAAGAAAATCATCACCGTTCCTAACTGAGGGTCTGGATGGGGTCCTTCATTTTTCTATTCCTTAACTTTTTATACATTTTTTCTCTTTTTTTTATTTCTTTTAACCCTTATTCTCTATTCTGTATATTTCAGCACCCCATTGTTATCTATTTTTTATTTTTTTGGCCTATTTTTCTCTATTCTTTATATTTTTGACCGTTTAAAAAAATGTACTCGGATATATGATTATATGATTACAGAAATAAGTACACAAGTGTTAGTCATTAACATGATTCAGCTGGTGATGTCTATCGCATGGTAATATAGTTTTATAAGTGTACATGTGCAAGGATGCATGAACCCAAAACATAAAATACGTTTGTTATGTATCCCTACCGAACCTCATTTTATATAACAATATTATTTGTTCAAACACATAAAGGAAATGTATACATATTTTATTTATTAATACCATGGGAATAAAATTTGAGTTACCCATATAACCTGTGTAGCTTCTAAAATGTTATGTTTTTCATATTAAATCCATTTCAGCTCCAAATTTAAATACCAATATGTATATGTACATATTTTGAAAAATATAATTAAGAAATATTATAAATAATATTATATAAAAAATCAAAATCGACTTTCTTACCTTCCCTATTACAATATTTGATGTCACTGTACTTAATATTTCACTCACTAATTGTAATTGTTGTAAATATAGCTATTATGTACCTCAGAATGGTTTTTATTAAGCCAACTGAGTCTTCAAAAGCGCCTAATAAAGGTTATTGGCTTATAACCTGCTTTTCACTGGGTATTAATCTTTTTATAGAATGACTTTAAACGAGGGAATTTAAAATCAAAACAATAATATAATAGTAAAACATACATGATTATCTAATAAACAAAGAGGGAATCTTTTTTTCCTTTTTAAATATTATTGTGGTGTTAAAATAAAACTTTAGTAACAAAGGAAACAAAACAAAAAACACCATTTATTATTTAGTGTATAGCCTCCAGTAGTTGATTATTTATTTTCAGAGAGGTTTTTAAATGAAAAATGAATTGTTTTCTAAGTTCACGTTTTCCCTTAAATAATTTGTTAAAGCATTCAAATTTGGCAATACATCTAATTTTGTTTGATAGATATAGTTTTTTGTTAGAAAAATAATATTATTTTTACAAAAATTCAATTTAATATTTTCGAAGTTACCAAATGAAATAAATTTGATATTCAAAGGCAGTCCTATATTTGTCATTTCAAAAAAATCGATTGCTTAGTGCATGCCAGAGACTGGATCGAGACAATATGAAAACTCCATACTAAATGTGCCATGGTCTGTAGATTTTACATATATTACTGTTGCTAATCTTCATCTCATAAACCCGTGCATAAGTTCCCAAAATTCTATTGATAATTCTTTACTGGAAACTGCAAAGCTTCTTTTCTAGTGTTTTTTTTTTTGTAAATGAAGTTTGTTTTTTTTTCTTTGTACATGTCCATTAAAATTTTCTTTAATTCAAAGAAAATACTTATATTCAACGGTAGAAGCGCTTGAGATCTTTTCAGGAGCTTTAGTTACGTAATCCACCGGTTGTCGTTGTGCGCTGTCTGTCATAATTGTTTGAAGCATACATCAGACCGTTAGGTTTTTCTTTTGAATTGTTTCACATTTGGCATGCCATGGCCTTTTATAACTTCCTGTACGGTATGACTTTTGCTCATTGCTGAAGGCCGTACGGCGACCTTGAGATGTGTATATCCTCGTCCTGTGGTCTCTTGTAGATGGTTGTCTCACTGGCAATCGTGATACATCTGATTATTTTTGTATGGCTAAAAGAAAAGACTAGAAGACAAACGGTAGTATGAGAAACATTGATTGAATACCACGCGATTGTATGTTTATATTTAGAACAGAACGCAGTCGGTGATCCTGAAACATTTTTTTTAAATAATAAAATAACACATTTACAGAATACCAATGATTTTATAAGTACGATTTTAGAATCAATACATACTATAATTTGATTTCAGTTATGAATATATCAAGTACAAGATCATGGAATGTAGTTTATATAATATATTTTCTATGCGACTGTCATACAAATGAGAGGTTTAGCTAGCTATAAAACCAGGTTTAATCCACCATTTTCTACACAAGGAAATGCCTGTACCAAGTCAGGAATATGAAAGTTGTTTTCCATTCGTTTGATGTGTTTGAGCTTTTGATTTTGCCATTTAATAACTGATAAGGGATTTTCCGGTAGGGAATTTTCCTTAAATTTCGGTATTTTTGTTACTTTACTTTTTACTATTACATTTAATGAAATCTGGTGTCACTTCAACACGTGTATATCAAACCAAGGAGCCAATGGAACATCATCAAGTAGGAAAGTTAACTATACGAAAGGAAAAATTGTCCTGTTTGTCATGTATTTGGTATGCAGATGGTATGAATTTTACAATGAGAAACTGTAATATCAGAATCTAAAAATTATCGCTGTTATTAGTACGAGTGAGTTAAACCCTATCGAAAAAACCTTTGGATTAACACAAGTTTAGTCTATCAATTAACCAATT